ATATATATGTCTTGCTTGTATCCTTTTCAATTTTTTTTTTTTTGTTTTTTTTTGTTTTTTTTTTCAAATTAGCCTTAAATATGGAACTAAGTTTTAAACATGTTGACTTTAGTCCTGAGATGAATATTTTTTATTTAACAAACTTTTTTTTTGAATGAGCATTTTAGCATGCGTGTTTTTTTTTTTACTTTCTGCTTCCATTTTTTTCTCTGTACTGTAATCTGTTAGTGTGTCTGAAAGCACATTCTTGCCCATGCATATGTATATATATATATATATATATATATATATATATATATATATATATATATATATATATATATATATATATATATATTTTTTTTTTTTTTTTTTTTTTTTTTTTTTTTAGCGTGATTAAAGTTGAGTGCCTGTTTCATATTTTGATAAACATCTACTATAATGCATCAATATGTACTTCTGATGGATATTTACTGCCTGATAGATTTTGCAGAGTAAGTATTTCCTAAACAATGCTTTGGAAAGCTTTCTCAGCAAGTTTAGCAAAAAATCATACTTGCTAGGTTTGTATAAGATCATACTCGTATACTATGGGTAAGTACAGAATGGTTTAAATAAGTGTTTTAGCTATTTGTGATATAATTGAGTTCACACTTTGGATACAGAGGACAACTGATTTAGTTTCATGACCAATTTATGTGTATTCTATGTCTAGCAAGCAAACAGCTGTATTTGTGTATGCGTATTATATTTGATAACTATACAGTATTCAAGATTGTGTAGTATATGTGAAATAAACACAAAGTATATATATATATATGTATATATGTATGTATATGTATGTGTGTGTGTGTGTATATATATATATAGATATATATATATATATATATATATATATATATATATATATATATTTATATTTATATATATATATATAATTTTATTATTTAAGATGTAGTAGATTTTTTGTGGGTGTGTTTATTAGCGTTAAGTTTGGTAAAGTAATTTAATATGTCCCTTTCTCTCTTGTACCAAGTACCAAGGCCTACATGTCTCTCACTCACACACACACACACACACACACACACACACACACACACACACACACACACACACACACACACACACACACACACACACACACACACACACACACACACACACACACTCACTCACTCACTCACCCACTCTATTCCTCTACCTCTTTGTCTCATTCTTTTCTCATTCCCTACCTCCCTCTTACCTTCTTTTCTTCCACCCTCGTACCTCTCTCCCTCCCTCCCTCCCTCTCTCTCTCTCACTCACTCACTCACTCACTCACTCACTCACTCACTCACTCTCTCTCTCTCTCTCTCTCTCTCTCTCTCTCTCTCTCTCTCTCTCCCCCCTCTTCCCTCTCTCTCTCTCTCTCTCTCCCCCCTCTTCCCTCTCTCTCTCTCTCTCTCTCCCCCTCTTCCCTCTCTCTCTCTCTCTCCCCCCCTCTTCCCTCTCTCTCTCTCCCCCCTCCTCCCTCTCTCTCTCTCTCTCCCCTCTTCCCTCTCTCTCTCTCTCTCTCCCCCCTCTTCCCTCTCTCTCTCTCCCCCCTCTTCCCTCTCTCTCTCCCCCCCCTCTTCCCTCTCTCTCTCCCCCCCCTCTTCCCTCTCTCTCTCTCTCTCCCCCTCCCTCCCTCTCTCCCTCTAACCTTCTTTTCTTCCGCTCTCATACCTCCCCCCCTCTCTCTCTCCCTCTCTCCCTCCCTCCCTTCATATTTTCTCTCACATTATTATTATTATTTATTTATGTTTATTTTTTTTCTCCCATTTTCTTTTCCGCTCTCCTTTTCTCACCCGTTCCCATTCTCATACCCATTCATTCTTCCAAAATAAGTAAGATTATTAAATTAGGAATGTTCATGGTTGATGGAAATGAATAGTTACTTCTCTAATACTCAGTTTTAGATTTAAAAAATATTGATATCTCCTTTTCATATCCTGTATTGAACACCTGAACTAACAATCTTTCTCTCTCTCTTTTCATGCTTTCATGGATTGCTTTGCGAATGTATGCATTTGTTTTAAATATATACACATATTTAGAAAGGATGACAAGAATAAGTGCAAAAGCAAGAAAAGTTCATAAAGAACTCTTTGGAGGTAAAATAGAGGAGAAGCTACTGTTTGGTAAGATGGAGTTACGGTGGAAAGACAGTGCGTGTGTAAAAAGGGCTTCTTAACGTAGCATCGGGATTCGCCGTGTTTCGAAAATTCTTCGATACCTTAGTGCGTAGAAGCGAAGCAAGGATAAATGTTTCGACAAGGTTGTGGTTAAAGTGATAGAACACAAACACGGGTAAATACTTCCGTCTGTGGGACGTCAGTGCGCCTACTACACTAATGGTGATATTGTTGTTTTCCTTGTCGTTGTTCAATTCAATGATGACGACCTTCCGACGACGCTGCCGGTCGTGGAGTCGTCGCCGTGGCTTACTGTTCCTCTTGGTCGTGGTGCTAGGGATGCTCGTGGCTGCGAGAATATTGGCTTCCAGTAGAATGGCCGAAGAGGAACTCGCCCCGTGCGCTGTGCCAGCCGAGCAAAGAAAAAAGTTATTCCCTCTGTTATCATCTGTGTCAAGTCTCCTGACCCGCTTGTCCATCACGCACTTCCTCTGCTTCGAATCCCTCTGGGGAGCCGTGCAGGAGTCGGGGCCCCTACCCTGGGATGCCAACGCCCACCTGTGCGCCCTCAACGAGAAGGTATCCAAGCACAACGAAGCCGAGTTGCTACGCGCCTTCCGACGCCGAGGCCTCACGCTGGAATACAGCTCAGCGGAGGGCCAGTACACCATCAGGAACGCCTCGGAGGTGAGCGACAAGTGGGTTCCGCCGACGGTTCGAGTCGTGCTGTTCGAAGAAGACGACCGCGTCCACATGCTGCGGCGCGTCGGCTGGCGGAGGCGCGTATTGCCCCCGGACTGCGACGCCCACCCCGTCCTCCAGTGCTTCCCGCCCAAGCTGGCACTCGACCCGCTTCCCTCAAGGCCGTTCGGGCCACTCTCGCTTCCGGCACCTCGGGAGGACATCGATCTCCTCAAGTTCCATTATCCGGAGACGTGGTGGCGGCCGCTGCAGCCCAAGTGTTAGGATCGCGCTGGGGATGTGATGGCGTCGTTCCTCTCCCAGGGCGTACGAATTAAGATTTGTAACTTTAACGGTGACAGGGCGAGATACTTTGCCATCTGAAAGTCAGTATTAAATCCAGATTTATTTTTTGAGGAAGATATTAGTTTCCCGTTCCACCTCCCACAGGCTTCAAAATAAATGCAACATTGCTTATATTTGGTACCTATATATTTTCAGAGTATATAGAGCAGTGACAGCCACTTTTTAAGGAATAAAATGAGATGTATAATTCCAGCTTCGGTATAGAATGGATAAAGCTTTCGGATACTTGGATTGCAGTATGCAATGTAGACTTTAAATATTTGCTCAAACATACAGACTATATGCAATCCAGTTTGGATATAATTGTAAGCATTGTTTGCAAAGTGATCGATGTTAGAGCAATTGCAAGATATAACAATGAAGGTAATGATCCATATTTTCAAAGAATAATTGCAATCCCTCCATCCTTCCAGTCTAACGCTTTTCTATTTTTTCTCTTCCTTCCCTTCCATTCCGGTACATTTGATTTCTCGGTTCTCTACCTCCTTTTCACTTATTCATATATCTCCCCTTCCCTTCCTCTCTCCCTGTTATACGCCCTTGTTCCTTTTTCTCGCTACTCATCTACCTCTTCTTCGTACGTGGTGACCTATTCTGGGTTATTGTACTTGTCTTATTCTCTGTTTATGCGTAATTGACCATCGTTGGTGTATCGTTTAAGATATGTAATACCTTTTCCTCAATGGTTATGATAATGCATATAGACATGAGGATAATGATATCAGCTAATGCCATACATATATTGGTTGTGCTAATGGTGATAATATCAGTTAAGAAAATGTAATCGCACTTATTTACTTAGCAACATTATCATTACTATTCACGTAGCTGTTGCAGTAAACATATCATTTCAGTATTTTCTACTTCAGGGCATGTCATTATACCTTCCCTACCTTCGCCTGCTTGGAACCTGCTTAATCAGCGCTTATACAATAATTTCCAGAGCTTTCCTGCTTTCTCTTGCAGCAAAAAATATACTTTTTTATCAGTTACTTTACGGCATAAATGCATTGGTAAGACAGCACGTGAATATCGTTTAGGGGTTTTGATACTGTGCTAAAGTGTAATCAATTATATTACAAAATAAACGTCACATCAAAACACTCGCTTCAAGGTCACGTGTTGTACAAAAAGAAAGACATTCAAAACGATTTAACTTCATGTAAGATATTAGATATTAACTTGCATATGTACACGCAGAGACGAGTCATATAATCAGGGTTATCCACCAACCACTGCCACTGTCTTGCTTTATAAGGGCCGGCCATGCTGAAGTTTGTGGCGAAAGTGCATTAACGGCAGCCATGTTAAAATAACATTCACATTTTTTTAAAAGAAAGTTTTAATGGTTTAATGCGCTTTGCAGTGGATTAAACAGTTGCATGGCGCTAATGCATAATGATAAAGGGGTGCTTCGTACAAACGGCCTCAAATAAAGTGGACAAAATAGTAGGAAAAAAAATTAAATGTTTAATAGAAGAGTAGTTTCGCAACCGTGCTTTTGACGAGCTTGTTTATGATACAAACTGTAATGGGCAAATGATGATGGTGATTAAGAAATAACTCAAATTTCTGTAATTTAGGTGCAGTCTGGGTACTGTTCTTGTTTTCATGATAATGCTATTGTAGAAGTGATCCTCATTATTATTATTACAATTTACATTATTATTATGTTATTCATTATATTATTAATATTGGTGTAATATTATTTTTATTGTTATTATTATTATCATTATCATTATTATCACTATAGTAATAATAATAAGTATTATTATTATCATCATTAATATCATCATTAGTATTATAATTATTATTATTGCAATTGCCATTATTATTATTGTTACGATTATTATTAATGTAAAGATTATTATCATTTTTATTTTATTTTCCATTTTCATTATTTTTATTTACGTTTTCATATTACATTTGTCTGTATTAATTTTATTGTTTTAGTTTTCATCTTAATTATGTTTTTGTTTATATTTTTATTATTTTATTATTGTTATTGTGTTTTTTTTTATTCTTATAGTTATTATTTTATTTGTATTTTCATAATATTTATTAGTACTACTATTATAATAATAATAATAATTATTATTATTGTTTTATAATGATTATATTTTTTTAGTAATAGAATCACTGCAATTATTATTGTTATTATTATTATTATTATTATTATTATTATTATTATTATTATTATTATACACCTGACGAAACAAACGTACCAGAATGTACGATAATGACGATGAGGATAACAGTGATAACAAAAATACAAAGGTAACAATAGTAATAAAGATAACAATAGATAGTAGTAATAGACCTCCTCCTTCGGCCAGACCAAGGGTACATTTCATCTCCTAGAGTAGAGTATAGTAGAGTATAGTAGAATAATTATCACCGTAGCAGTCACTCTCTCTTTGTGTTTGACATTCCAGCTCATTTGGTCTAATTTGCACCCTTCACTATCACTCACTATACCGGTACTCTGGTGTAAATTTATCTGGTGTAGCAGTGTGTTTCTTCTTTACAGTGCGATTCCTTATGGTCATTTTCACTATGTTGGTTTGAAAATGATAAAGGACTCTTTTACAAAGCTAGAAATGAATACGGGATTGGAATTAGTTTAGTGATAGTGAATAAAAGTTTGATTGAAGACATGTGTGTATTTTTTTTTCACCGTATTCGTTCGTTTAGTTTGATAGACGGATTTTACATTCATTAAGCTCTGGAGAAATAGTGTAGATTAAATATCTTTAAGTAATTCACATAAAAACAAAAAATCCAAGTACGTAATGAAAGAGTATAAAGAAGGAATTAAATATGTGAAGTCAGGAAATCTGGCAGAAATTAATGTAAATGTGGATATATACATAAACGCCTGCATATATATATATGTGTGTGTGTAGACACATATATAATATATATGGTAGAAAAACCCTTAATGTAAAAACTAGATTTATAGCATTTTTACATTGTGGGTTTTTCTACCATAGTAGAGTGTTTTCCTCATTCATATAACATATATGATACTATACATATATGTGTATATATATATTCAAATATAACACACACACACATATACATACATACATATATATATAAATGTGTGTGTGTGTGTGTGTGTGTGTGTGTGTGTGTGTGTGTGTGTGTGTGTGTGTGTATACATATACACACAAATATATAAACATATATCTATATATATATATATATATATAATATATATATATATATATATATATATATATATATATATAATATATATATATATATATATATATATATATATATATATATATATATATATATTCTACAGTTATACATATGCATGTATATGTGTATATATACGCATATGAATATATACATATATATGTATATGTATAATATATATACATATACACATGAATATATGCATATATATGTTATATAAAATATATACACATACATACGTACTTATACATATATATACATACATAATATATATACACGCGCACACACACACATATATATATAGATAGATAGATAGATAGCTAGATATGCATGTAAATGATATACAATATAAATAATATGATATACATACATAAATACATACATATATATATATATATATATGTGTGTGTGTGTGTGTGTGTGTGTGTGTGTGTGTGTGTGTGTGTGTGTGTGTGTGTGTGTGTGTGTGTACACAAACACGAATATACATGTATGACTAAACAAAATATCCAACGGACAATAACCGTATAGTAAGACCAGTAAAACCCATAGCGAAGGAGACCTTTAAATTCGAATGGCTTGATAGCCACAGTATCATGAAAATAAGTCACCCAAAACGATAAAGGAGTCATAGACAAGTACCGACGGCCCCAAAGGAAGAAGAAACCCGACGGCAGGTGCGGGCCGAAGAGGAGGCGGGACAAGAGTGAGTGAACAAGAGTGACTGAGCGGTTGAACGCGCAGTGTGGGTTATGACGTGATAGTGGAAGTACGTCCTCTTTGCGCTCTCTCCGGCCATGACTGGAAGTGGTTTATAAGCGAGACTTTTTTTCACAGTTATTAATTCTTTTTACATTCTTCTATTGGCCCTCTTGGGCCATGACTAAAAGTGGCACCTAAGAGACATTTTCTTTCGTCTGGTTTTTATTTATTCTGACTGAAAACATGATTTGACGAGTGAACGAATTGGGAATTTTTTTTTAGACATACGTTAATATTTTTGGTGCCAAATCAGTGTGTTAAAAGGAAACTTGCAGTCATGTATTTCAACAGAAGAAATATGTATTATCAGAGTTACCCTTATTTCTCGCCATTTGGGTTTCTCCAGCAACAGGTAAGAAAATCTGTTTTGTTTTATACCTACCAATGCGCTACAATGTCTTTTATATACGTATATGCAGGTAGAGTAGTAGATAGAAAAGAAATATGTAGAGGTATATATATATTAAAAGATACGGTATGCAGATAGACAGTCTTAAATAGGCTAAGGTTCGTTTGTCATATATGTATGCTATCACAACTATCCGTTTAGTGTCGATATCAGATCTCCGAGCTATTATTTTATGTAGACATGGATATCAACTGTAATCATTAACCGTTCGATGTTTTTAACGTATATTTACATTTACATGTATGCGACAATATATATATATATATATATATATAATATATATATATATATATATATATATATATATATATATATATATGTATATATATATATGTATATATATGTATATATATATATTTATATATATATATTTATATATATATATATATATATATATATATATATATATATATATATATATATATATATATATATATGCACTGAAAATGAAAATTTAAAATTAAAACAAAAAAAGAAAATGGTTATCCAAAATTCAATATATGCCAACAAGTGTTGGCAAATCTAACACACACACACACACACACACACACACACACACACACACACACACACACACACACACACACACACACACACACACACACACACACACACATATACACACACATACACAAACATTTACAAAAAGACAACCAAACAAACACAAAACAGACAAATGCTATACACACACGCAAACAGAATAAAAATACAAAACCATATCACAAGCACACGCACACCGTCCTACTTGGCCCAATAAAGGACCGGTTACAATACAGTATCTTCGACCCAGACTGACCCACATCCAGCTGGGCGTTAGGTCAGGAGTCTTGCCCTTCCTTGCGCTGTCTGGGTACGCGTGCTATATTCAGGGACTGGGGATCTTGATGACGTGATATAAGGGTAGGCTGGTAATTATTGGTGTCGTGATTCGTATTGTTTACTTTAATGGTAAGCTGCAAATTCTGCACAATTTTTTAGTGGTTGAATATATCGAATTCGTAAGCGATTTGGATTGCGGTTCTCTGGGTTATACGCATATGTATAAATATTTGTATGTAAATGGTTATGTTTCATTTATTTATGTATGTGTATAGACGTATAATGAAGTAATTATATGTGTACATCTATATGTTTATCTATATCTATCTATCTATATGTCTATACCTCTCTCTCTCTCTCTCTCTCTCTCTCTCTCTCTCTCTCTCTCTCTCTCTCTCTCTCTCTCTCTCTATATATATATATATATATATATATATATATATATGTATATATATATATATATATATACATACATACACAAACAGACATATATATGTATGCATATGTGTTGTTCGTCATTTGATAATCTATATTTCATTCTTTTTTTTTTAAATCGAAATTCCCGAATGAAACAACGAATCTCAGTAAAGAATATATATCTGATAAAAGATCTTGAAGTCAGTGCCCTGGCCACGCAAGGCGACAGGCAGGACAAGTATGTTTAAGGAAGGAAGGGGAGGGAGGGAGGGGGAGGAGAAGACGGAGGTGGGGGGTAGGGCGGAGGAGGAAGAGGAGTGAGGAGAAGGGAGGAAGGAGGGGGAAAGGAAGGGACGTTTGTCCCGTTACCTGGGTGTATCCTTGATGAATACACCTGTTACTTGTTTAAGGAGGAAGAGGATGGCGACGCACCATCAGCTGTTTGTCACCACAGGAGTAAAATTGAGAGAATTTGATAACCGGAACCACACCAGAAATAATCCAACGGGACTTGAAGACCTGGAAATGCACTGGCACATGATGGTCAATGTTGAGGTCTGTTTGAGGGCTGAGTATTAGGATATTGGTGTAGGTAGATAAGTTATTTCTCTACTCTGTTTGCCCCTCGCCCTTTCTCTTTCTCTTTCTCTCTTTTTCTCTTTCTCTCGTTCTCTCTCTCTCTCTCTCTTTCTCTCGTTCTCTCTCTCTCTCTCTCTCTCTCTTTCTCTCTCTCTCTCCCTTCCCCCCTACCTCGATCCCTCGGTTTAATTTGTTTTTTATTATATCAAATTTAGTGTATGGTTTTCAATGAAGATTGATGGGATCGTATTTTTAGTGTGATTTAAGGTCATTGGGTTGTGCTTTTTGAAATGCTCTTGAAGACATTTAGGCCACTAACAAATTAGGCCTGATAAGAAAGCTCTAAAAGGACAAGAAAACGTAACCAAAAGAGGGATAAACAGACTGCCGAAAATTCCACCCATAGAGGTTGCAGCCTTCGTGTTCACAGAGACGCGCTCAATATAAACAGGAAAAGGTTAATTACCAGTTCGTTAACAGCATCGGTATGTGTGGTTGCGCTTCCAGCCAAGTGGCGCTGCCTGCCTGATGCTCTTTTGGTCAGCAACGACCCAGAACAACGGTTAGATTCCTTGGCTAATGGCTGTTCTTTTCTTTCCAATAGTACTACCATTGTTATTATGTTGATAATGCCGGTGCTAATGATGAAAAAGAACAACGATTCTGATAACCATGATGATGGTATGTCATTGTCGTTACAGATATAGTTTTTTTTACGATGGTAGATTGCCTGCTCAAAGTAAGGTTATGGAAGATGGGCATGGCATTTATTTCTTGTTGTGATAAACAGAAGAAGTATGAGAGGGAGGAAAGCGAGGGGTTAGATTCTTATACTACTAACAAACAAAAAAAAACAAAGACAATTATCGATGGAGAGATGAATACTACTGCTGACGATAAAAGTAATTTTGATAGGAATGATAGTGATGAAGAAGATGATGATGGTAAGTATAATGATAATAACCATGACGATTACAATGCTAATTATAATAGTTGTATTGATAAGGATGATGGTGGCACTAATAATACTTATGATGATGATACTAATGCTCATACTAATACTAATACTAACTACTAATGATGATATTGATGATGTTAATGATAGTAACATTGATGATCTTGATTATGATACTGCTGCTGCTACTACTACTACTAATGATAATGGCAATAATGATAGCAATAATAATAATGAGGATAATAACAATAATGATAATAACAACAACAACAGTAACAATAACAATAATAATAAATGAGAAGAAAGATAATGAGAATGAGAATAACAGTGTGATAATAATAACAACACCAGTGACAATAACAATAAGAATACAGAGAAAACTCAAGGAATGCAAGAAAACAACAAATTACTTCCAGAAAAAAAATGTAGACACGGTTCTGAGCGAATCCGAGTTCCTGTTTCTTGAAGTGCTTGCAGAATATCTTAAGTGTGGTGAAGTCTAACCTGACCCACTTCTCATGGCAGCCGACATGTGGTGGAGAGAAGAATGACTTTTCTCGTGCGCTCGTGCAAGTTAAAGAAGGATATATTACGTTGCTTAGAAAATGCCTTTGGTGGAGATGCAGTTGTACTTCATATTATCTCTTAGTTTGTTTCTGTTCGTCTGCTTCTGTTTATGCCTGTCTCAGTCCCTGTCAGTCTGCCTCTCTCTCTCCCCCTCTCTCTCTTTCTCTCTCTCTTTCTCTCTCTCTCTCTCTCTCTCTCCTTCCTCTCTCCCTCTCTCCCCTTCTCTCTCTCTCTCTTCCTCTCCCCCTTCTCTCTCTCTCTCTCTTTCCTCTCCCCCTTCTCTCTCTCTCTCTCTTTCCTCTCCCCCTTCTCTCTCCTCTCTCTCTCTCCTCCCCCCCTTCTCTCTTCTCTCCCTTCTCTCTCTCTCTCTTTCCTCTCCCCCTTCTCTCTCCTCTCTCTCTCCTCCCCCCCCCCTCTCTCTTTTTCGCTCTCTAATTGATAAGAAAACCCATGAACTGCAAATGCCTCGATCATCATAAGCTGAACGAAATGCGTATAGCCCCTTACATCGCCTGGGGACTTCAACGCGACCAGAGTAGTTATCTGTCAGATATTTCATACGTCTAACCAGCTCTGATTTTCTCTTTTATATCTTAGATTTACTGTTCCCCCGCAAAAAAATATCCCCAGTCATTGAGGCAGAAAGAAATATAGGATAGATGGATGTTAGTCAAAGAATGTCACGTGTCTCCAGGTGATGTAAACGAAAGAAGAAAAGATCTTTCCTGAATTATATATCATAATCATGTTATCGATATCATTGTCTGACGGTAACAATTTCTTATTGGTTAAAGTAATGTTGCTTAACAAATTTAGAGAATAAAAACAAACAAGCAAAGGGAGAGAGAGAGAGAGAGAGAGAGAGAGAGAGAGAGAGAGAGAGAGAGAGAGAGAGAGAGAGAGAGAGACAGACAGACAGACAATCAAAGAGAGAGAGAGACAGACAAACAGACAATCAAAGAGAGACATAGAAAGGATGAGAGACACTGACAAAGACACATATGAGAGATAAGTCATTGTTGCTTCACAGTATCGGCGACATACGCTTGATTCAGCCGATGTTCAGCGTAGGAGGGAAACAGCTGTTACCACAACGTCAGTTATGAGACGGATGACGTACACCTTTTTATTATTCTGTTTTATGCACCACCATAAAACCCGTAATTACTTAGATGTACTTCTTTATTGCTTCATCATGTACTTCGTGAAATATGTTTAGTGTCATGCATTTTTACACCGAAATTCTCTTGACAAATATGAAGGGATTTTAATGATAAGTTAGAGGTTCATGCAGATTCTTTGCGACTGATATGACCATTCCAAAAAATGCATTGCATTTCATCTAAAAGCGATATGTATTTATACTGAGAATAAAACGAATTATAGTTTAGACTACAGTTTTTAATACTACAAAGAAAATGATTAAGTAATACTTCGCGAGGGAAATAACGAACTAATGAAAACTAAAGGAGCTTCATTACGCAACAGTCTATATTAATACAAACCAATTAATCGTGTCGCAATGCTATTGTGTCAACATATTTCGACCGATGGGTGAGATATCCAGCAACGGTGCACTAAATCGAGAAATGGTGACACGTGACCC